TTTCGGAATTCTGTAACACCCTGTATAGATAGAAGGAACCCTGGAGACTGTTATAAGAGAATCAATAAGAGAATAATAGAAGCATTCTAGTTCAATAATTAAGGTAACAAATATGAGAGAGATAGAAAGAGAAATAAATCTTAAATGAGATAAAACTAGCAAACCAGTGAACCAAATGTTCACCAAAAAAAAAAAGTATTTAATTTTTTGAGAACTTCGGAGATTTTGTGTGGTTTCATTTGAAATAGAAATCACGTGATTTCTCGAAAACCGGAAGTGCTACGTTACTCACATCCGGTTTGTAGTCTTATCAGACTATTCTTAACTTATAACTTAAACATTCTCTATATCTATCTCTTACTGTTTGGCCGCTGAAACAGCACCACGGACGGACGGACGGACGGACGGACTTGTCTAATAGATAAGAGATGGGGTATGAAATTGTATATTGGAAACCAATAATTACACCCAGACGAATTCGCGGGCACCCGTTAGTAGTTATTAAATAATTGAGTCTTTGTTATAATAAAAATAAATAAACGTTTCATTGAATTGATTGCAGTCTCAATTGTGGCAATTAACACCACTTGATGCTAACTGATGCAGCAGAGAAATATGCTTCTCAACCAAGTAACCATTGGAATAGGCTATTTGGAAGTATGAAAAATTGTAGTACCGATTGTTGCCGTCTGTATTTATTTTTTTAACATAGAACAACTATACACTAAATATTACATAAAATTATAATGTAGATATTAATTAGGTAAGTGTACAACCCACACCAATGTCCACAAATTAATGATGAAAGGAGAAGTTTATTATCTTCTCACTACGGAATAATAAACTAAAAAACCGCGATGAACCGGTACAGATACAAGTATGATACCAAATTCCATCAACCCGTTCTATTTGACAATGTTTCTACTGCCATTTTTTTAAACTTTAATTTTGAGAACCCAAATATGGATATTAACAGCGATTTTACAATTATAAGTGAACAAGTAATTACTAACTTTTCCAAAAAATATAATTAATGATTTTTTGGAAATGTAACTAATTACTTTTTATTTATTTTTCCTATGGTCACGTGACCTAAAACGCCTAGGATTGGCGAAGATTAAAATGAAGTCGCACGCTTGTAAGCTTCCGGTCAAAGTGACATAACATTTATCGTTTGACGTTTGAATATAGTCGCGTGACGTCACATGCCAGTGAGACACCATAATGGAACGTTTTCACGTTTTTTTAAATTAATTAATGGAGTCATTTGCCTACCTCGCTATAAAAAAAACTTGAAAAATTGAATTTTTATATATTTTTTTGTTGAAATACACAACAGAATATGAATATACTCTTTTTATGGACACTGGTTTTCTAATACCTGTCAAGTACCCTATTATTATTTGACGACCTCCGTGGCCTAGTGGTTTGTACGCCGGGTTTCATGATATCGCCGACTCGAGAGGTCCCGGGTTCAAATCCCGGTGGGGGCAGATGTTTGTGTGATGAATACGAGCATTTGTACTCCAGTCATGGATGTTTAATATGTATTTTCTATAAAAATATACTTATATATGTACAGTATATGTATTTTATCCGTTACCCTAGTATCCCATAACACAAGCCTTATTATAGTGCTTACTTTGTGGCTAGGCTAATTGGTGTGAGTGTTGGAAATATTTATTTAGTTATTTATTATGATGACTTGGCTTCTAGAAGAATACAATAGTGTTATTTGCCTGTAGTCTTGTGACACTTTTTACTTCCTCAAAATAACTCTCCTATGTGCCTAGCTCTCATAATTTTCCTAATTTATTTAATTTCTATTTATATCATAAACCAGTTTTACAAAAATCGTACAACACAATATACAGTACAGTATCCTCTGTGCCTGTACTAGGTTATAAAAATACCTATATCACAGACACAGCGCTCATCCCTAAGGACCAGTTATACAACCTTTATGTAATGGAAAAAAATACAATTCTTGTGAACTAGTTTCACAAAGTTAAATCAATATATTATTTGAGTAAAAGGATTCAATTATTTTATGTGTTTATCTAACCTCCTTTTGTGTGAAGTGAATGTGAATGTGTGTGAAGATTGGACTTTAGATGTCCAGTATATTAATAATAATAATAATAAATATTTCCAACACTCACACCAATTAGCCTAGCCCCAAAGTAAGCACTGTAAGGCTTGTGTTATGGGATACTAGGGTAACGGATAGAATACATATACTGTTCATATATAAGTACATTTTTATAGAAATACATATTAAACATCCTTGACTGGAGTACAAATGCTCGTATTCATCACAAAAAACATCTGTCCCCACCAGGATTCGAACCCGGGAAATACATATTAAACATCCATGACTGGGAGTACAAATGCTCGTTTTCATCACACAAACATCTGCCCCCACCGGGATTCGAACCCGGGACCTCTCGAGTCGGCGACACCATGAAACCCGGCGTACTAACCACTCGGCCACGGAGGTCATATAATTAGTAAATAGTAAATTATTACGTAAATATGAAGCATTTGTTCAGGCCGGCACGGTAAAGATGTTTGGTGTGGGTTCATAACTGCTGCACCAACTATCTTAGCGTCTTTATTTCATCATCACTTAACCGGAGTAGAGTCATTTGCCCACCAAATAATAAAATAATAATATATATGAGTTAAATAAAACTAGTTTTTACGGGTTAATGCACGAAACTCTTATTTATTTATTGACGTTTCGCAGCCTTTTCAGGTCTGCATCGTCAGAATAAACATTATTTTGTTTAATTTATTATTCATTATTCTGACGATGCAGACCTGAAAAGGCTGCGAAACGTCAATAAATAAATAAAGTTTCGTGCATTAACTCGTAAAAACTAGTTTTATTTAATGAGTGATGTGCGTGAAAACCTAAGAAACAAATATATAAGTTATCTAAAAATACAATTAAACTATGTTTGTAGTGTTATAGTAATATAAGTTATTTACGGGATTGTTACCATGTACCTTGTTTTTAGCGAGTTTCCGATATTTCGGCACTGTTGCAAGCGCCATGGTCACGGAGAAACTGAGTATTAGTAACTGAGTTACTCCGTGATCATGGCGCTTGCAACAGTGCCGAAATATCGGAAACTCGCTAAAAACAAGGTGCATGGTAACAATCCCGTAAATAACTTATATTACTATAATGTTAGTGACCATGAAAGATTAAAACAATTTGTTTGTAGTGTTAGAAACGTGTTAGAAGATCACAATCGCTGACGCTCGTAAATAAAACGCTTCGCTTGAGTTTGCGCGCGCAACATCTAGCGGCCTGAGAATCAACTGGTTTTTATCATAGAGTAAAATATGTGGATGAGAAACGGAAGACTGGCTAATTATACAACACACACTATCAAATGCGGCGTTACAAAAAATCTTTGGTGAATGTGTTGTGTTACTACAATCGCCCGCAAAATAGAAGATCACCTTTGTTAACAGTAATATCGTGTATTCATTCTCAAATTAATATTATACTAGCAAACCAGTGAACCAAATGTCCACCAAAAAAAAAAAAAAATTAATTAATTGAGAACTTCGGAGATTTTGTGTGGTTTCGTTTGAAATTCGTGATTTCTCGAAAACCGGAAGTGCTACGTTCAAATCCGGTTTGTAGTCTTATCAGACTATTCTTAATTTATAACTTAAACATTCTCTTTATCTATCTCTTATGGTTTGGCCGCTGAAACAGCACCACAGACGGACGGACGGACGGACTTGTCTAATAGATAAGAGATTATGGTTATTTTGTATGATACTGTTTTTATTGTTTTATGAGTAATAACAATTCCTTGCAGGTATATTTTAATTCAAAGAGCTAGCTTATGTTGTTTACAAGTTATTTGGAGGTAACTACCTGACCTTTCATTTATGTGGGCGAGCGTATCTGTATAAGTTTGATCGATCTCCAACAATTTTTTTTAATTTTCTTGAAAAGTTTTTTTTTTCTATATTACATTTAAATTATTTATGCTAAGATTCATCGTAGCGGACAACTTTGGAGTAGCATTCCGTTTATTCAAGAAAAATTAATATTAGTGAAAATTATATTTTTTACCATCTCTACATTTTGTTGTGCTAAAGATTCTTAAATACACTTTTCAATGAGTAGTTTTTTTTTATATATTATGGAAAATAAACTTCTTTCTGCACATTATATTAAAATAAAACGACCAACAATATAAAGAAAAGTTTACTAGAAAAAAAAATTAAAATTAGTATTCATTTGACATTGTGGGTTACCTACAATGCGAAGAGATAGCGCTGCCTTGCAGCTTAAGTCTAGGAAAATTTCGACGCGGCTAATAGGGCCGTGGTAGCATAATGGTCAGTGCATTCGCCCGGATTGCGAAGGATGCGGGTTCGAGTCCCGTCCGCTGCCTGGTCCGCGTGGATTTTTTTCTAGTAAACTTTTCTTTAGATTTAAACATCTAGCAGTTAAATGCTTAAAAATAAATAAAATCATGACCAACAATATTTTTGATGCTACTGTAACTATTACACTCCCGCTCTACGCTTCTCTACACGCAATGTCGCTTCTGCGCACTAAGCTTTGTAAGTTTCGGCGTGGCCCGTGTCCATACGGTGTACGTAAACGAGTGTAGCCAGCAACATTACCGCATGGCGGGCTGACCAAAACGGACGTGTGTACCCCTTTTTGTTTTCAAGTTTAGTTCGTTTCCTAGCTTCGTAACTTTTTCGATTTTCAAAAATAGACGTTTGGCTGTGTGAACTTATCCTCCTTTCACTTTCACGGCGCGACCTCAAACATATCAAGAGTTTTAAAAAAAACTTTCGTCATGGTGCTTGTTAAACCGCCTTTTTGGTGTCACAAAGTTTTGTGCCAGTGTTTGTAGTGTCAAAAGTTTTGCGTGCAAGTGTGCAAAAAGTTTCATAAACTTTTCAGTAGATACAGTGACATATTTCAAAACATTTTTTATTGGAGATTAGAAAAAATGAACGGTGTTGTCGTTGATAAGGAATGCAAGGAAAAGGCGGGAATACTAGAAAGGTTAGTTTTTTAAACTTTTAATTGGTTTTTAATTGATGTTGTGTTAATTAGTACGTGCAATGTTATTTTGATCATGTGTCGTGATAATCAAAAGAATTGGATCAGCTTGACATTTGTATTTTGAACGTTTACGAAACAAATCGAAATCTTTTTTACAACAAGGCCGAGAGATGGTATCATTAAAAGACGTGAATACGAGTAATAAATCCATTTATTTTTTATTACACTCGTTTTAAAGCAAAAATATTTAAAAGTTTGTTGATTAATTAATACAAATCAGTTAAAGGTTAATGAATCTCTAAATTAATTAAATATTTACGAAACTAAATTAGATTTTTTTATATAAAAGAAACTACTTAAGTCGTCCTGTTTGAACTTAGAACACCCTAGGTTGTTGATCTCGACGAATAAACATTTTCAGATAAAAATAAAAAGATCAAAGGTTCCTCCCTGATAAGCTGTTTAAATTTCTGAATATTAATTATTAAATTACAAGACACGAACTGACAAACGTGTTGTGTTGTCTGATGAAATCATAAACACACTACGCGATAGAATCAGTAGGTAATAATCAATACAATATGAAAATAAAGAGTTTTGTGAGGATATACTGTACTTCCAGGGCCCAAAAGTAAAAACTTCACAGTTTTGTTGGTTGTGATTTCGCATTTTTGTTGTTAAAAAGGTTTCTGTTAACCACATTATTAAAAAAAATGTCACACTTATGCACTGGTAGTTTTTTAGAAAAAAATATTGAAAATTTTTACTTTTCTTATCAAGTGGTGATACATACACACTGGTTAGGTTAGGTTAGTGTTGTGACCATAACGCGCGAGCCGAGCGAGCAAAGCGAGCGTGCCGCGGCAGCGGCCGGCGAAGCGCCAGAAAAAAAATCTGTTAAAAAGACCTTTTCTGCAAAAAAAAAACAAGTATCACCTTTTGGGCCCTGGAAGTACAGTTTTTTTTACCTTTTGTGAAATTGGACGGAATCCCTATGACATTTCAATAGGGAGTTAGGGCCATGCAAATGCAAGTGATATAAAGGTGTTAAAGAAGCTTTTTACCACCCATTAAGCCATATTTCAGTATAAGGTATGCGAATTAAAATAAACAAATAGGTACATCCATTTACAAAGATTTGTCCTCTAAAAATTCCTTAATACTTTAACACGTCTTTTTAAGTAATATATTCTTGAATTTTGAGCAAAATATATCGGGGTTTTGAGCTTTTCTTATTCCATGTGGTATTTTATTATATACTTGAGGTGCCATACAAAGTACACTATTATTCATAAGCCATGTCTTGTTAGATGGTAAACAAAGTCTGTTTACGAATCTCCTACTATTAGAAGTAACATATAAGTGTAAATTTGCTTAAGCAAAAACAGCAATTTCATATAGTTATTATTATTATTTTTTAAGCATTTAACTGCTAGATGTTTAAATCTCCCAAACTTTATGTTTTCTATAAAACTTTAGTACATCACTTTGCTCTATTATCAACGACTACCGCAGCATAAGCGATATAAGGTCATTTTTGGTATTTTTTTCACACCCTGGGTTACACTATCGATATTTGCATATGGAACTCTAACTGTTTTGAAAATACTCTATAGCCTATGTTCATCAGGGATAATTTAGGATTCTAAATGTGTAAGAATTTTTCAAAACGGTCCAGCAGTTTCGAAGCCTATTCAATACAAACAAACAAATCTTTCCTCTTTATAAAATTAGTAAAGATTATAAGATACTAGCAAACCAGTGAACGAAATGTTCACCAAAACCTGATTTTAAAAAAATGTATTTAATTAATTGAGAACTTCGGAGATGTTGTGTGGTTTCGTTTGAAATTCGTGATTTCTCGAAAACCGGAAGTGCTACGTTACTCAAATCCGGTTTGTAGTCTTATCAGACTATTCTTAACTTATAACTGAAATATTCTCTTTATCTATCTCTTACGGTTTGGCCGCTGAAACAGCACCACAGACAGACAGACGGACGTACTAGTCTAATAGATAAGAGATTAGTATAGAAATATTCAACGGCTTCGAAATCTCTGGTTTCGGGGGCAAGACAAGGCCTCTAAAATCATGTGTTTTAACGCCCCTTGTATAGGTTATGTAAATTTCCTAGTGTATGCAAACAATTAGAACTGTCAAAGACCTAAAAAGTAAATTAACTCGCGTCAGCCATGAGATAGAGGTGACATTATTTCAAAAAGAGATATTAAATTGAACCTTTGGTTTTCACGCTGGCATACGAAGCCGAAGTGGTTATTTATACAACATGGTGTTCCATACAAATCACCAAAGAGTAAGTCAACTTTAAAAAAAGAAATTGCAACCAATATATTTTGTTTTTATTTGAATATAATGTGATTCAAATAAGAATAGGAAAGCCAATGACCTCCATCTGTCAAATGACGCTTGAAAAGTACGGTTTGCAAAAAATCTTGGAACTCTTTTTTAGCACTCAGCTAATTCTAGAATAAAAAAAAATGGTTGCCTGTAAAGTCGGTTTTACGGGCGAAGATTTTACGTGACAACGTCTTTTTCTCGGTAGAATATTTATTGATATGAATATAATTAAATTGCACAGTAGGAACAAGGAATTGAATGAAAATAAGAATTGCACAAATTTTAACTATAGAAATATAATTTTTATTATTTTTAAAGCATGTAACTGCTTGATGTTTAAATCTAAAGAACTTTTAAAAATGTTTAAATCTAGATTTCTAGTTATATTTTCTTTATAGAAATATATTTTGTTTACTAAAACATTGTACATGTAAACTTAAACTTAACACGAGAGACTCATCGTAACGTTACCGAGCGTTACACTTTTTCATAAGTGACTCCCAGCCGCAACCTAATTTAAGACGTTGTCACGTCAAAAACCAAACATTTGTAAACAAACATGACGACGATGACAACTCCGGTTGTTATGCAGAGCTGAGCGGAATTGAAGAGCTAGATTCCGATTAATATTTTTAGTCACACAGTCATAAATATTATTAAAAATCGGTGTTTTTTTTCTCAATCTTAGTAAATAAATTTTTATTAATGAAATCTGATGTTTTTTCTCACTTTATCTTAGTAAATAAGTTTTATTTAAAAAAAAACTGATGTTTTTTCTCACTTAATCTTAGTAAATAAGTTTTATCGAAGAAAAACTTTTATTGCTCACTCTACCTATTTTGTTTCAATTGACAGCTTTGACATCACAAAATGGCGCCCAGTCGATCCTATTGTTAGTTGAATCGCATAGTACATAGATAAAGACAATCAAGGGGATAACCAAAAGTAGGTAGATACCTATTTGGGCCACGACAATTTATGCTATGAATTTTTACACGAATCAATCATGAACCCTTTTTATACGAAACCAAAACATTATTTCCCATTGGGTAAAAGAAATGTCGTTGACTTTCTATTCTGTGCAAATAATATATTTAAAATGGAAATTTTGCCCTTTACATTTCATTGTGAAAGTTACAAAAGTTGAATTCGCGAATTCGTACCAAATTGAATTAACAAAATGACTGTTAGATAATTATTGTTTTTGACAAAGTTTTCCACCAGACTAAGGTTTGTGTCAAATGGAATAAAACAAGTTGTTAGGTATTTTTTTTTCTTTTTTTTTTTTATTTTATAGCCAATGAACACGGTTTAATTTTAAAACCTGAATTGAGTAGGTAGCCAAATTTATGCGACGGCACCTTCTAAGCGTCTCTAATACCTGATTGAAAACCATTCAAGTGTGATACGGCTCGCAAACCATAGGGTTCCGTGATATAGTATAACATTCAAATATAGCCCGAGCTGATGGCGAAGAGAGGAAGGGCATAGCGGATTTCCCATTCGGAATGGAGCGCCCGTCCGGCGAAGTTTATTAGTTTACCTCAATATATAAAAAAAAGTAGTCTCCACCTCCACCCAAGGTAAGGTCGTGGCTGAACGCACAAACCGTGGATGCCATAAAAAAAATAAAAAGAAGAAAAAGGTAAGTTGAGACTTTTTGGCGGGATCGGAAAGCGTCACTTTAGCAGTTTTGTTTTTCTTGTTAAAAAATGTGTTGTGGCGGATGTTAGTGTCTAATAATGGTGGATTATTATTAACCACTAAGTGTTCGGAAACATGCACAAGTGTTGGCAAGTGAAACAAAATAGCGGAAAGTGTATTTCGACGTTCCCTCAAGAAGTCCACGGGGAGGTTCCAGTAAATCCCCACACTTTTACTGAAACATAGGGAAAGGGGGATTGACTTGTCTGCCACTTACTTTGACTTCATTTATTACTTTGACCACGAGTGCTATAGTATTTGTAAACATTTTAACACTTGACATTGGCTAAATGCACAATGCCTTGCGAAGCCATTTAGAAAAAAAAAGTTAAGGTGAAGGCAGTGTTGTCGGGTCATGTCATCAGGTCAGAAGCAGTGGATGCAGAGGCGAGAATTGGTAAATCAAATCAAGATATAGGCCAGTAACGAATGTGTTTCTGTGGCTTCTGCCGCCCCTCAAAGCTTTTTTTTTAGACATTATCACATTTATTTTATTTCTTCTTCAGAAGTATCTCTGAAGTCATTTTTCAACTTGACGCCTCTGTATATATCAATACAGGGAGAAAAAAGCAGCCCTTGCTGAGTTCCTTGCCGGTTCTTCTCAGTACAAGGTCTCCCGCCGTAGTTTTGCGAACCGATGGCGTAGCTTCTTGACCTTCACAAGTGCTTGTAACAGCCTAGACTGAATAAATGACTTTTCATTTCATTATAATTAAGGTTACCTATATTCTAAATGGCGCACAATGCCACTTAACATACAATTTAAAAAAGAAAATCGTATTCTAAGAAAAACACTAGATTGATGTGGATAAAAAGAAGAACAGGAGAAATTTCAGAAAAACAGGAGATCTCCTGTAATATCGGCAGACCTGGCAATCCTGGATGAAGGCTACCAACCACCTCTTGAAATACCAATATTGATTGTGGTTGTACGCATTG